TAACCCCTTTGGAAAAATGTTAATTTTTGGGCTTGTGAAGTTCTTGTTTTTATAGCCTAGAAAGGCGATTTTTCGTTCTAAAATTTGGTAAAAGACTTCTTCCTGGCGTATATTACCTAAAAAAGAAGTTGGAAAAATGGCTATTTTCGACCAAATCGATTGGTTAACTCCTTTGGAAAAATGTCAATTTTTCGACTTTCTGAACTTCTTGTTTTTATAGCTTAGAAAGGCGTTTTTCCGTTATAGAATATCATAAAAGACATTTTCCTGGCCTATATTGCCTAAAAAAAAAGGTGGAAAAATGGCCATTTTTAGACCAAAACCATGAGTTGACCCCTTTGGAAAAATGTCAATTTTTGGGCTTGTGAAGTTCTTGTTTTTATAGCCTAGAAAGGCGATTTTTCGTTCTAAAATATCGTAAAAGACATTTTCCTGGCCTATTTTGCCTAAAAACAAAAGTTGGAAAAATGGCCATTTTTCGACCAAAACGGTAGGTTAACCCCTTTGGTAAAAGGTGAATTTTTTGACTTTTTGAACTTCTTGTTTTTATAGCCTAGAAAGGCGTTTTTCCGTTTTAGAATATCGTAAAAGACATTTTCTTGGCCTATATTGCCTAAAAAAAAAAAGGTGGAAAAATGGCCATTTTTGGACCAAAACCATGTGTTAACCCCTTTTGAAAAATGTCAATTTTTTGACGGTTTGAAGTTGTTGTTTTTAAAACCCTGAAAGGCGATTTTTCGTTCTAGCGTTGAGGCCGTTCTGTCTCCCAACACGAGCTATCAGAATCGACTAAGGATAACATCAGAAGTAGAGTGACCTCTACTCTACAATCAGCCTCTTTTCCGAACAGTAACTTGACTCCTGACGAACAGAAAGCACTTAAACGACTGAAAACAGACGAGAACATAGTCATACTGCCCGCAGACGAGGGACGGGTAACGGTTGTTATGGACAAGACAGACTACAACGACAAAATGGACTCGCTTGTTAATGACAAACAGACCTACGAAGTACTTAAATGAGACCTGACACCCGCACTGCAACGCAAACTGCAGAAAACCGGCAAGATCGACTTTCGACGCTACAACAGACTGAGGTGTAGTGTTCCGCAGCCACCCAAGCTGTTTGGACTACCAAAACTACACAAACCCAACATACCTATGCGGCCCATAGTTTCTTTCTGTGGGTCCCCGACCTACCAACTGTCTAAATACTTAACTAACGTACTGAAACCGCTGACTGACGAATCTAGACACAAACTACAGTCTACTGAGAACTTTATTGACTCCACTGAGACAATACAGATACCGGACGACCACAAACTAGTGCCCTTTGACGTGAAATCGCTGTTCACCAGCATTCCACTTCAACTGGCTCTAGACTGTACTGAGAACGCTATTAAGAACTCTACTGTTGAACTACCACTACCTACAGATGACATTATGGACCTACTCAACCTCTGTTTGACTTCGACGTACTTTCAGTACAACGGCAAACACTACAAACAGTTACACGGTACAGCTATGGGCTCTCCAGTTTCTGTTGTTGTAGCAGAAATTGTCATGCAAAACATCAAGGAACAAGCCCTAGCTACCTACACGCGAATTGTACCTCTTTGGTTACGTTACGTTGACGACACATTCACCGCCGTACACAAAGACGGAATCGACGATTTTCACGAACACCTTAACAGACAGAACGCGGACATACAGTTCACCAAGGAGATCGAAGAAAATGGTAAGATACCTTTTCTAGACTGCTTGGTCACTCGCGACAACAGTAAACTAAAAACGACTATTTTCAGAAAACCGACACATACCGACCGATTACTAGACCAGTCTTCGTACGACCCGACCTCTCACAAGGCTACTACTATCCGGACTCTGACGAGACGAGCGCAACTAGTTTGCGACTCACCTGACAGCCTAAAAGACGAGACTGATTATATTAACAACGTTTTTAGCAAGAACAATTACAACACGGACTTTGTTAGACGGAACACTCACAGTAACACTGATTCCAACTCTCAGACCAACTCTGGCCCTGTTACGACAGCGACTATACCGTACATCAGAGGCACCTCTGAAACTATTGCACGTATATTACAACCTTACCATATACGTGTTGCGTACAAAGCGATAACCACTTTACGGCGACTGCTTACTGATGTCAAGGACAAAGACAAACCGCAGGAAAGACAGGGAGCAGTATACAAGATCAAATGCTGCGACTGCCAGGCTTCTTACATTGGTGAAACCGGCAGAAACCTAAGCACGCGACTGACCGAACAAAAACGCGCGACGAGGAATGGTGACGTCAACAATCACATTGCTGAGCACCATTTAAAGACGAAACATCAAATTGACTGGGACTCTGTGACATGTATAACGTATTCTACAGACTACTATCAACGTCTTACTTTAGAAAGCTGGTTTACTAACTTAGAACAAACGCCACTGAATCGTAGCCAACAGTTACCAGCGCCGTACAAACGACTTATTGACGAGATCAAGCAAAACTAACTACGGGAGAACAACTGGAGAACTGACGATTTGACTAACAATAGACGACTGTTTAACTGTGACAATAGGCGGATCGAAACGCACCAATCACTGATTACGAGCCTTCATAGCCAATAACATCACAGCTTAACTGACCGACGACCAATAACATCGCGACATAATTGACCAATCAGATCTATAACCAGAGTATAATACCATCAACTGACGTGATACAACTCACTTTGACCCTGAAGATGACTACCGCACAGGTTGTCGAAACGTCAGTCACTGTCAACAACAACAGTCCTATTCAGGACTACGTTCACGCGGACGATCAAACTCAACCTTTTGGTATTCTTCTTCTTATTATTATTACAGTGTGATACCCCTCAGTGTAGTTGAAAAGTGAATATCCAGAGACATTCAGCAAATAACACAGGAAAAGTGTCAAAAGAAAATTTGTTCGACTGTTCACATTTGCTGTTATGGTGTTATGTTTATTTACATTGTCCATTTATTATTATTATTATTATTTTTTAAAAAAGTGGGACCTTTTGAAGTTGTCGATATCTTCAACCAGCGATTATTATCCAGAATTCTTTATCTTATCCCAAAATGATTGCAGTTCTTTAAAATTGAATGTCTAGCCACGGTCTAACGTTGCCGTGAAATAAGACCCCAAGGCACTTTCCGTACCACGCCGCATACTATTTGAACCTCCTCGGCTTTCAGCATGTGTACCATCATATCGATTCTTGGTAGGAGCGTGAAGTTGTAGAGCCAAACTCGGCTTTCGGGTTGTAAATACAGTTTCTGTTTTTAATCCGCTGGAAACACTATGCAATTGTCCCTTTTTTGAACCAAGAAGGCTCAGTTGATGGTCTGTTCACGAGGGGTTAGGGACGTATATCCAAGGAGCAGCCTAAGACTGAAAGAAATGTTTTAGACAGCAGCTAACATCAGGTGCCGGACCCGGCAGATCCGGCTAATATTAATGTCTCCTCAGCCAGTTGTTTTCACTAGTTTATTTAGAACATCATTACTAGCGAACGGCCAAAACTGGGCTGTGGAAACTGGTTATTTGTTTATTAAGAAAAAATCACTAAACAACAAATTTTGTGACAGAAAAAAGGACAATCGCTCGACTCACACACTAAGCGATGATCAGACTGTCAGACTGATAGCTACTGATTTGTTCTTATGGACACCCAAAGTGACCGTATCTATATAGTCGAAGTGTTATCACGCGCTCGAATATTAGGTAGTCTGAAAAGGACAATAAACCATCTTCCATTAATTGGTGGAAAATTCCTTTTAGTTAGTTAGCAACTATTATTGTAATGCAGTTCTTAATGAAGCCAAGACATAAGCTAAAAGCATTGAATTACATGCATTTAGGCTGTTTCAAATAAGATCCAACAAAAGTTGTTTTATTTAATGCTGAGTAATTCTAGCTTGCTTCAATCTTCGCTAGCTCTCTGGTTCTTCGGAGTGTAATTCTTGATAACCTAGCATCTTACTTCTGCAAGATCATAAACACAACTGTTTCATTAACTGAGGCCCGTTTCAAACGACGTGCTGCTGCCGTGCCGAACTCAATTGATCGAATTAAATTCGACTTTAGCACAGCAGTAGCGCGACGTTTGAAACCAAGTCGTGCTACTGCCGTGTAGCAGGGCAAGCCTTGCCGTGCTACACGGCAGTGGCTCGACTTGGTTTCAAACGTCGTGCTACCGCCGTGCCGAACTCAATTCATGAATTATAAATACATTAGATTATATTTAAAAGTTTGCTAAACCGTTTCTTCATGTTGTGTTTTGTTTTTGGCAACAGCCAATCCTTTTGACTGTCATTGTGTGAATTAAATTCGACGTCTGAAACTAAGTCGTGCTAATGTCGTGCTGCAGTCCAGCTACAGTCGAGCCAGGTTAGCATGGCAGTAGCATGACGTTTGAAACAGGCCTGATTGACAATATACTGCTTGATAAGGCAAATAACAATAAAGAAGTAAAACAACATAGATGGGAATCAACCCGTGACAAGGAACAAAGAATCTGAATTCCTAGTGGGGAGAAGCGTATATTCAACTCCGCATGACCCTTCAGGCTCTGCTAGTTGGCTTCTCAGAACACGTGATTAAACCACTACGATACACTGTATTAATGCATTGTTAATTGGTGGTCTTTACATGGTTAAAACCTCTTTTGCTGTAGTAAGCATTTTCAGAAGATATTGGGAGGCTTTCAAGTCCGTTATACTTACGTATCTACCTAACCCACACACCAAAGTGCTTCATTTTATTAACGTTTGCAGATTAGCATTACTGCAGAGTGAGAAAACTAACTTATCAGCTCAAACGTTACGTACTTGTAGTTGATAGAACCTTCCTTCTTAGGATCAAGGCCAGCCAGCAGACGAGCTGTTTGTTCTATTCCGAATGTAATATCCGCCCTCTGCAAAAATAAAACATAAAAATCATGGAGTCCAAGCACTGTCGGAAAGTGTGTTTTAGAGCCAGCGTAGGTCGAAGGAGGATCAGATTGCGTCTCTCTTGATTTCTGTTTTGATTTCTGAAATTCTGTTTTGAGCTGTAATATTTCCCTCTGTCAGGGCCTAACACTTTTTTGCCCTCACGAAATGAAATTGTGGGCAGTGGTAGGTCGTGGCTTTTGAATGAGAGCGATATAAGTATGAGTGCCAAGAAAACTAATAAAGACGGCATATATGTGACATATATTTCCTGCCTGTTCGGCCGATGAATACTTTGTTAATGCTAAGTACGTAGTTTTTATCACAGCAAACATTATAACGTGGAAGTGCCGACGAATCGAAGTGAGAAGAAACAATCTCTACATGAACGCTGATATGAAAAGACTATTATGTACCTTTAGGCACTTCACAAAGTCCGTTCTTGAAATCTTCATTGCCCCTTTGCAGTCATTATACTCCTGACAAAATTCCACCCATTGATCTTGATTGTTTGATACAAAACTCTTTACAACACTCAGAGGGTCCTTCACGCCTGGACGAAGATTGGCTCTGATTTGAATGTCAGGCTTCACTTGACGCACTTCCCCCAGAAGCTGGTCAAAGGATTCGTCTAAGTATATATCCTATAGTGATAGGAGTAAACAGGTTGAATTATATACGTTCCATATATAGCAAAGAACCCCTTTAATATTCCCTCAAGCCGTATTACACAAGTTCATGCATATTGAACAAAAAATAGAAAGAAGGCATATGATCAGATGGATCTGAAGGCAAAAAAAATTGGACAACAGATAACAAAAACTATTGAAAACCTGACAAATAATTGTATATCCTCCTTTTCTGAACTTCAAAGCTCGAGACTGACTAACCTTATCCCACGTGACTACTTTTATACAATTTTGATATAATTTTTATTCTAGTCTTTCATTCTCAGTGCAAAGTTTGCTCAGTAAAACCGAATGTATGGGGGTTAGATGTGAGCAAAACATAGTAGTATAACGATCGACCGAGTCATGAGGAACTCTCATAGAATAATAATACCTTCAAGTGCAATTCTGTCAAGGCGCTGTCGGCGAAGTTCTTAGCTGCTGATAAAATAGCTTTTGCACCTTCGGTACCGATGGGGTTACTTCCAACCTAAGCGGGAAAACGTAATGTTTACAAATCGTTAAATACCTACAAGATAGAAGCTAACTTCATAGTCTCTTCCTATGGTCTAATTTAACGTCATCAGAGTACAATACAAAAGGTACTAACGCGTAGACTTGTTTTAAAGCTCATACTTAAGTTGGGACTGGGACTCTTTATTCGACTGGGACTCTTTATTCGACATTTATCTCAGTGGTGATCCTTGGTGATCCTTGGTGATCCTCGGTGATACTTGGTGATCCTGGGACTCTTTATTCGACACTTATAAGGTCAAAATAGCCTCCTTAATTTGTAATATATACAACTGCATAACTCCATCATGCTTGGAACATATAATCCAAAGGAAAGAGTCTAAGTATGACCTCCGTCATCAACATCGTGTCAGCGTACAACATTTTGAAACTTATTATATGGAAAACTCTATTTCTTACAGAGGATCCATTGTTTGGAATCTCTTAGAACCATCCGCTTTGAGCGCCAGGGACTATGGCAAAAGGGCAAAAAAGTCTCACGCCCTCAGAAACTTGAACTTTAATGAAGAGTCACCGCAAATGGGTCGTCCCCAAATTTACAGTGATTTCGTCTTTTATTAATTCTATTTATATCTTTTATTGTACATATTTCACCTTTTGTTGACTACATTCAATTTTAATAATTTTTTATTATTTTATTTTATTAACATTTTTTACACGGCCCCATAAGCTATATTAAATTTAAACCCACCGTGTTTAAATAAAAGATATTGTTGTTGTTGTTGTTGTTGGAACCTTTCCTCATAGCTCAGTCTTTAGTTATAACGAGAATAATAATAATAATAATAATAATAATAATAATAATAATAATAATAAAGCCTTTATTTAAAGAGGGTAGCACTTAATAGCCAAAGGCTAATAAACTTGTGGCCCTCATAAAATACACAACTATTTACAATCTAATAAATATAGTAAGCTAAAATATATAAACAATTAAAATAAAACAGGATTCGAATTTTATAAAAATAAAAAATTATTAAATGATAAAATGATGCAAACATTGTTGTTCCTTAAAAATCTTGGCAAACATGTTCTTTTTAAAACATGCTACAGAATCTAGTTTCCTAATTTCAATTGGTGTACTATTCCACAGTCTTGTTGCCGAAACAGCGAAAGAGCGTCCTCCCTCTGTTTCTCTTCTATATTTAGGACAAACAGCATTAATGCTTGAATATCTAGTGTTGCGGGAGTGCCGCTTATTATTCAAAATTAAGTGTTCATTTAGATAATTCGGCAAATACCCATTAATTCGCTTATACATTATTATGCATTTATCTATCTTATGTTGCTCATAAAACGGAATCCAACCTAGCTTGTTAAACAAAGCAACTGATGGTGTCATGCGATCGG